TGAAGTGCTTACACACAGCAATCTCACATTATTGCAAAACAAGAGAAACGTTATATAGTCAGTGATATTATTATGACGCTATCCTGTGTGGACTTAATTTATTAATGATAAATCATGCTCAGATCCATCTGTGTGTAAGTCATGCTATAATGAGTGAGATTGAATGAGTGAAATAGTCATAAAACAGAAAAAAAGTGAATTTCTGACGAATGAAATGACGTTTTTTTTTCTATTTGTGACACAGCATGACTCTTCGTGTCAGGATGTTTTTTTCTTTTGCACGCAGCATGTTTTGTGTGTTTATGATTCCAATAATCCAGCTGGTATGACAGATTCTGTCCACAAGCCGCCTTGTTTTCCTTCCCTTAACCTTCCTCTCCTCACCGTAATTCTCTTTAAAGCATCGGTGTTTAAACAGGAGTTGCTCCATCCTTCAGTCCTACCAACCTCCAGATGTGGGTGGATGTGGGTCTCATTTTTTTAACATCACACTGTGACACTGTGTTTCTTTAAAGAGCTCTCGTCTTGTCCGGTAGCACAAAAAAGAGCTCAGATTGTGACACAAATCCCAACCTTTGTTTTACACATACAGTAGCTTAGGTGGAAACTGGAAAAACTAATGTTGAAAGACACAGGAATGAATCAGTTTTAACAGAAAACAGTGTGTGACTGAGCTTTGGGGCTTAACGGATATCGTAGTGTGACCTTCCCTGTGTGTGGGAATGCGCTGGTTATCTCTTAATGGTTCAAACGACATCACAAACAGCCAATTCTTTATCTTTATTCTTTATTGGCAACTGTATCACTTCACGGTAATCTCTAAGATTCTGCTTACTCAGCCCTGATGATCAACTTCTGAGCATCAAACTCATTTTTTGCCATCCAGCGTTGTTGCTCATCCACGTAAAAAAACAATAAATAAAAACATATCTCTTTGGAAACACATGATATAAAAGGTTTCTAAGTTGGTTTTGGGTTGGTTTGGGAGGTGGGGGGGGATGTCTGAGTTAAAGACAGATGCACAACTACCCTGATATTGCAAAAAAATGAACAAAAAATAGCAAAAAAACTATAAAAATGA